GGAAGGGGGAGGAAGGGGGAGGCATGGGGTCTGGAGGACGGCGAGGACGAGGTGGAGAGGGGAGTCGGCACCTCGGGGAGTTGTTGATTGGTATTTATGACGTTGTGAAAGTTCCAGCACGATGGTGGCCCGCCCGTGCCGCGAGCACTGCCCCTGCGGTGGGGGTCAGAGCCAGCTGTAGCCAGGCCTCCAGTACTCTAGCAGTATTTTACACACTCGGGATCCTCCGCCCCATAATGGTGGTGCAACGGTGCAATTAATCGGTGTTCCTGCACGGGTACTTTTGTGCACACGTCGTGGCAGTAAGTCTCACAGTGCGGGTTCATCAGTGACGCAGTGTGCGCCCAATTTTCTGCTCAACTGAGCCGCGGCAGCAGCACGAATCCAAAATCCTCATTGACTTACCAGAAACGGAGAGAGGACAAGATCTGGTGTCCTGCAAAATAAAAACTAAACGAACCAACATTGTCTAGACCATTTCGTGTCAAGTGGTGTTAATGCTCTTTTATTTTCAAATTACTCCCCGCCCTTCTCCTTTGAGCCGCCCGAGCGGAAGGGCCGGCCCGACCGAGCAGAAGAGCCAGCCGGCCGCCCCCTCTCCCCAGGATTGTCTGCGCAGATCGTCCGAGATTCATCGCAAAAAGGGACAGAAATGTATATATTGCGCTCGCTCTGGGCTAACGGCGGCGGGAAGAACGGGCAAAGTCGGACTAAACGTGAACATATTGAAACGCTCCGAAGCGAGCGGCCCGACCTTGCAAGGAACGGGACGCCTGGATCTCTAGGCGAGGTGTAAGGGGAGGGTAGGGGAGGTCGGTGGTCTGCTTGTGAGGTGGTTGTGGTGGATCTGTTCGATTTGGACCGACAGGAGACGGCGACGAGGGTCGGGCGGAGGCCTGCAGTATACATGTCTACAGGCACACACTGGGCCTCCGTCCGCTGCACTCAGACAACGGCCTAGCCGACGTCATCCACAGCACGGCCGCCAGTGGGACGGGGCCTGCTTGGTCCCCGGCGAGGCCCTCGCAACACACTGGCCAGCCCTGCGCTCAGCCCGCAGGATGAAGTCGGCAGCGGCAGCTGTGGGATTCACTGGACGGACCCACCCCCTCTCTCGCCCTTTCGCTGATGGGGACAAACAAGTGGCGGGAGTGGGAGAGGTAGGGGCGGATGGTGGGCGGCGGCTGGTGGGCGGCACAGTATAGAAAGGGGAGAGAGGTGACATTCGGAACCGTGAGAAATGCGCAGGCGAGCGGCGTCGCGCGCTCCTGTGCGCCAACAGGGTCAGGGACCTCTGCTCACCCGGGGTCATCCATCCATCTATCCATCCATTCATCCACTAATCCATCCATACACCCATCTACCTATCCATCCATCTACCCGTCTATCCACCCACCCATCACATCCACCCATCACATCAGTACCTTTTCCTCGGTCCTCAGTGCGCCTGTAGATTCGAGGGTAGGCAGGCCCGTGAAGCACGCGTGTTCCCGCGTTGCCTACCCACCAGGCGCCCTCCGCCAGCGAGCACCGTCGGTGACTTCACACGCCCCCCTCCCTCACTCTTTTATCTTTTATTTGTCTTGGAAAGGGTCGGGAGGGGCCCTTCTGCGCTCGCGTGCGGTAGGCGGCCGTAGAGTGATACCGCCGCTATATTCTGTGTCGGTTTTATGGAAGTGTTCTTAGTTGTGTTTTTTTTTATCTTTTCCAGTGTAGCACTGTAGCAGCAGCACTGCTCACGTATTTATTCGGCGCGCATGCCTTTATGGCTTTGCCACGTGTTATTTTATGGATGGTGAACGGCCTGGATGGTCTTGTTAAATCCGATGGGACTCACTCCCGAACGCTTAAGTACACACTTGAGCCCTGCGCCACGCCGCGCCACGGCGCTCGGTACATCGGAAGCCTCTCAACACGACCAAATATAAGCGGCGGGGGATAGTGGTCCCAACCTTCGAATAAAAGGCGTCTGTGTGCGCTCACGCTTCAAAGAGAGAGACAGAGAGAGAGAGCTAGCGAGCTTGATGCGAACTGGAGAAGCGTTATCCGCTTCTCGAGAGAAGGGTTTTATTTGCTGGAAATGCCAGAAAGAGAAGTTTTCTGCTTCTGCGGTGGTGTTTGATCCGCCGGAGATACGTTGTTTTCACTTCACCTCTTCTCGCCTACCACCTCCCTCTCCCACTGCACACACACTCACGTCCACACACAAGAAGCTCTGTCCAGTTTTTTTTCTTCTTTCGTGGTCAGATTTTACTCTGCGTTTGTAGATCCGCTCAGTCCGTAAAGAAGGGGGAGCGTGGTGCGGACACGTTACCCCAGGGAAAGCCCCCCCCCTCTTTCCCCCCTTACCTCTCTATGTCACTCTCTCACTCTCTCCCTTCTGCCTTTCTTTCTCTGCCTCTCTCATCTCTCTCTCTCTCTCCCCTCATCCCTCGCAGGGTTGGATTAATTCAGTTGCCACTGCAAGAGTGATACATAAAACACAACGCTATCCCGCATCGCGTACACTCCAAATCTCGCCGCCTACCCTTTGCCCCACCGCCTACACTATTATGTAACAGAGTGTTCATGTTGTAACGTAACACATCCATGGAGCCCGTGACCTAGTTTCGACGAATATGGGGTCGCGAAAGTGGGATGTTATTGCACCTCGAGCCATAATTTATATTTACTGGCATGAGGACATGTGCCGATGCACTTGAAACTAAGTGCATGCTGGTTGCACTCATGGCACACGATGCAAGTAGCAGGGCCACCGGGCATCGGATTCGATTGGTACCATCGGTAATTACTGATGTCGGAGCTGGTACGATTCACCTTTGTTGGTATTTGTCTCTCTCTCTCCTCTCTCTCTCTCTGCGTGACTGCTCGCCGTTATGGCATTTCGAACAGTGCGATAATAAAACGTGCGATGCCCTATAGGGGCCCTAGGGACCCTATAGGGAGGCCCTGCGGCCCTACGCGAAGCCCCATAGGATAGTGCGACAAATGGGCGAGACTTAATGGCAGTCATTGGGGTACGGGAATTACTCTCGCTCATCGATAGGCTGTCTGGCTGCCGCGCCACTCTCTTCTCTCCCCCCCCCCCTCTTTCTCCACCCCTTTCCCTCTCCCTCGTTGCCCCACATACAACAGGTTGGTGGCTCCTGCTGCTGTTCTTGCAGACGCCCGGTCATCGAAATGAGATTGGCCGACCAAAGCTGATCAAGAGGAAAAGGGGTGGGAAGCCTCCCCTTTTATCCGGGCCTTCTTGTTTTGGGCTGCGCGGCGTTGAGTGCGGCGGGCGGGAGCGAGGGTGCCGCTGGGGCGCTCCGCGAAAGGCACAAAACAACAACACAATGGATCGCGCTGTCGTTGGACTAGTGCGGTCGGTAAGCGAACTCGATGGCCGCTCGGTCGCCGAGTCCGAGCTGTGTAATCCTGCCGGGGCCCGCCCACGCCAGAGTTAATCCTGTGGTGTATTGGGGTCGAGTGCCTGCTGCGCCTGCTGGATAGGAAGATGGCGGCCTGCAGGATGGGGAGGAGGAGGAGGAGTACGACTCAGGTCGTTATCCGGCGATTAACGCGCAGACTGCAGCCGGCTGGTGCAGGCCGAGCCGGGGCTGGCCCCGATAACCACAGGCGCAGTCGGCTGCAGTTCACACTTCCATGCAAAGTGCCGAGGGACACTCTGCTCGAACGCGCACACACCTTTATGCACCTTTTTGTGGCTCGTGTTCTTTCCCGGTATTTATTTAGGAAAATCGGCGCTGACTATTTTGAGTTTTTTGAACGAGACAACCGTTTCCTTACTTTGTCGTTTTTTTTTGTAGGCTCATCGGTGTTCATCCCCGGCGCATTTCCACATTTTTTTCGGTTTGAAATTCTCGTGTCGAGGATCTGCAGTCTTTCATGAGAGTGAACTCCAGCGGCCGCCGGCTCGCCCTCCGAGTTACCAGACTGCCACAATATTACAGCTCCCGCATCAAGGGGGTTTGAGTGGACGAGAGTGGGAGGGGGGAGGGTGATGCATATGCCTCATTGCTTGATGTGGTCACCTCTCCCCCGCAAAACGGGCCAGAAGCGGGGCAGTGGGTGTGTGGGCTGGGAGGTAGAGGAAAAGGGGGGGGGGGCACTCTGAACCTGCAAAGAGCTTTTCGCTGACCCAGGATCGTGGCCAGCCCCGCACAGCTACCGCACGGCGTCATGAATAAAATGCTTCCCGCCGTCAAGACGCCTCGAGACTCAAAAGAGGGGGAAGGGTGTTGCCTTTTCTATCCACAGACTCATTACAACTCGTTTACGTTACGTAATCCCCGACGTCAGCCCCCCCCCCCCTCCTCTCTCTCGCGCCCACCCACACTGTACCAGATGAGCTCGCCTTTTTCTCTTGCTGCGCTCTGCAGTGTTCTTTAAATGTCGCGCTCTCTCTCTTTGTTGCAGGGTTGAACGGCCTTGAGATGCGCCCTGGCTGGTGGCCGGGCTGGCTGCCCCTGCTCTTGGTCCTTGCTCTCCCTTCGGCGTATACGCAACCAACAATAGGTAAGTGTGGTGCGTTCATCTGAAACTATTTTTAAAACCAAGCTAATCATTAGAAAAGCATGCACGCCTCGACTCAAGACCTAAAGAAACATTCAAGGTTTATAAAAAATAATTTGGCTTGAAAATGCAATTTTAAAAAAGGGATTCAAGAATGACAGCGCTGTTTAGCCTTAATTTTCTGGCAGAATCGTGACTGGAATGCATTCCGAACGGATAAGCAGCTTCTATTGTCTCAGGGAGACAATGCGTATACTTGTGGAATAATTGTCCATTGTCGCTGCCTCTGCGTTCGACAAAAAGAGAGAAAGAAACAAAGAGTGCTCTCCTAAAGATGCTTCTCAGCCAGCCAGCCAGCCCAGTCCTTTCCTTCCAAAGAAGAGTGGAACAGGGAAATTTGGGGGGGTTCGCGAGGCTGTTGCGAAGTAGTCTATGTGGGGTGTTTAGGTAGAGCGGACGCGAATAATGTTGTGGCCTTGTGGCCAATACAACGAGAGCAAATCCCATAATCGTCTCAAGCCCACTCGGCGGTAAGCCCTTCGATTGCAGAGCGCACGCCGCTTCTGTCTAGCTGTCAGGGTCTGCCCTCCCACTGCCGTGGCAGAGTTAGCTAGCCTTTTCATAACTACTTTTGCTATTCAGACAGCACAAGGGAACGTCTGACGGGCGTAGTCGCAATCCTCTTGAAAGGGCAGGGAGATTCCACCCCTCTCTGTTCTGACGCCCCCTTCTCTCTCTCTCTCTCTCTCTCTCTCTCCCTCTCCCTCCACCTCCCTCTCCCAAGGTGAGCCTTTTTCCTCCTCAGCCTGCGCGCAGACCATAGTTTCCCGCTCAGAAGGCGGAATGTTCGGTACACGACTGCGCTTCTGAATCTGTGGAGTACCTTGAGTGAACCGTCTCTTGATAAACTCTCTCCCCTCCCCCTGTCTTCTTTGCTTGGTCTTTTGTTTGTGTCGCCGTTTTACTTTTGCTTTCGTCCCAGCTCTGCTGGCCTGCGCTCTAGCAATTATATGATGGCCTTTGCAAACTGTTATTATTGTTGTAGATCGCGGAATAAGAGCAAGAGAGGGAGAGGGGGAGGAAGAGAAGAGGCATTGTAAAAAGTGTCAGGGCATTTAATTGGGGTGGGAAAGTAGGGTCGCATTCTCGGGATTTTCCATGGCATCTTCCTAATTGGACCCCAACGTATCGCATCTCCAAGTATTATAACAAAGACCTGTCGCCTTCCTCCTTATCGTCTTTTCCCCGTTTTTCGCCCCCTCTTCTTCCGTTTTCTCCCTCGTTTACTTCGATGTCGTTTTTTTTTTTAAAATTCATTATTTCCACCCCGCAACGCGTGGGAAATCTTGTTTTCGACCGTCCCTCCCACCCCCAGCCCCTTTTTGTCGCAGTGTAGTGCAGTGAGGCCGGACGTGCAGACTTGACAAAGGGGCAGCCAGAGCCGTGCCGAGTTTGTGTGTTATCTAATTCTGTTAATCCGTTAACAAGGTAACGGGGACTGGGGCCAGACACAGAGGAGGGCACGGCGAGCAAGACGAGGCTCGGTAGAGTCACATTCCCTCTCGCCCCTCTCGATGTCCCTTTGCCGACGGTTCCGCGATGAATTCTCATATAAAGAAAATAAAATGGCGTTGCTCAAAACATGTGCCGCCGTGGACCGAGCAATCTCCCAACCGCAGAGTAAAAGAGAGAACGCTAAAGTCGACGCCGCTTTCTGACCATAATTAAGAGAACCCATTTTTTTTTCTCAGTTCCCGACCTCCCAACGGCTTTGCCCCTTCAAAAAGTCGTAATCCTCTCACTCACACATTTCCTCCCCCAAAAGCGTATAGCTCCTCCTTGTGCCTGTCCGTCTAGTTATCCTTTTTTATACACATCTTTATATATTTTTTTCCCCTCTTGCTGTGCCGGTTCTGCCTGCCATGCGCGCGTAGAGTACGTCATTAAAAAGTGTTGGTGCGTTTAGAAGCAAAGGGGTTAACCTCTACCTCGCGACAGCACGCTCTAGCTGCTGCCGCAGCTGCCAGCCGCCGGCGCGTTGCTGACGTGCACCTGGCGGGCTCATTACCGTGATAATGACGCACAGCAGCACACCTGCACGTGTTGACGCGTCACCTCTGCTCGCTTATGATGGACCTGTTGATTATTTGTTTTTAATATATCACTAATGACTTCCGTTTTCTCTTTCCACAGGACACTTCTGGCACATATCCGACCTCCATTACGATGTCAACTTCTCGCTGGACGGCGACATTCGGCACAGTGAGTACCGTCCACGGCCCGTTATAGCGCCGCTACGGCGCAGAGCAGCAGACCCTCGCAAACGCGACGCAGCGCGCCAGCTCCCGCCGGATACTGCCTCTATTTTTAAATCGCCCGCCTCGACTGCTGCCGGCAAAGAGCAGAGGTCCAGATGTGCCGCGTCTCGCTCCCTCCCTCTGCCGCAGCCGAACTTTCTCGCTCACTCTCCCTCTCTCCTTTGCTTTTACTCGTCGGCCGCCATTGCGATTAGCGCAAGGGCATCGGCCCTGCTGGACACTACTAGGGCAGCGGCTAAGGGCTTTGGGACGAGAGGGGGCTGCGAGACCGCGCTGGGGTCAGCAGTGAGAGAGGGAGAGGCGAGTGTAGGAGAGCCGAGGGGAGTAGGGAGAGGAGAGAGTGGGCCCTCAGGGAGAACGACCAGTGCGAGTCGGCCGGGAGGGCTTAAGTAGTCCCGGATGTGACCATCGGCAAAAAGGAGAGAGCGCGGCGTGCGCACCCGCCAGAGTGAGCCAGAGAGAGAGGAAGACTGGCGGCAAACACAAACTTCGATACGGACCGCGGCAAAACACACAGCAACAAGCCAGGCTGCGCGGCCGCTGCAGTGGCCACGGCGGCGGCGTTGGGGGCGGAGCGCCGGAGCTCGGCGGAGCTCCCCCGACTCCCCCGGCGGGCGCGGTTTTTAATCAGAACCCTCTTCATCCCGTCCTCTTCCTCCTGCTCCCCCTCCGGCGAGGATAAGCGAGCAGGCGGCAGTGGTGGCCGATCGGGGGGAAATTGGACGGAAAATTGGAGGGAACTTAGTGGTGGTTGAAAGTCATTTTTGATCGAGTTCTTTATCTGGGCGGCGCGGTAATTTCCTCGCGCGGATACCGCCCGTCCATCCGCCCGTCGGCCCGCACGTCTGTCGACGAGCTGAAGGGCGCGATGATTTGCCTGGTGAGCGCGAGAGGTTTCGCTTTGCGGGGCGGTGGCGCGGCGTAGCGCCGCCCTCTTTAACTTTCCACCAAGCACTGGCGGCGCCCGCCGCCGCCGCGTCCCAGCCGCGGGCTCTGGGACTGCGAAAGTACACGACACGGCAGAACAGGTGCTTGTGACTTGATGACCTCGCCCGCTCTGCGCGCCAGCCGTATAGCTCTGTCTCCGTCCCTCTTCGCCGTGCCCGCCGCGCCCAGGTAACGCGCGGGTAAACTCTCGAGGCCATTTCAGGGGAGGGTCACCCGCGCCAGCGGCGTCCGGCTCAGCAGTTGACCTGGACATATGTGAGAAAGGGGTTGGGGGAGACCTGGGAGAGACACTAGGAAAAGTCCACAAACCTTTTTGTATTTCAAAGAAAATTGAAGCATTGTAATATGATGAGAAATTTCCTCGTAATTACAAAGCATATCTCCGTGGGCTAGAACGATGATACCTTTTTCTTTGTCGGTTACGAAACACTGCTTTGTAGACTCCCACAGTGCACCAAAGAAGAATGCAGATTTTTTTCCCTTGGCATGGGTTGATTGAAGAATACCTAGTCTTTTGATTCAATGTTAAAATATTACGAACGCGTTTTCCTTGGAAGCTCAGAAAGGAAGCATCCGTTTGCTTTTTATTCCAAATGATTCCTATATACTGCGATCGACTGCGATGAATTGCTTTGTACTGCGAAGTTTTGCGAGGTACGAAGACGTTTCTCTGCAATACTATGCTAATGTTTTCTTTGTTGCTTTGGAAGAAAATCCCTTGGAATGTTCTGTGGACTTTTCACGGCTGGTTCATTCCAACGCTTTAATGCCTTGGAAAGGGAGTTCAGTCGCACTAAGTGCACTAAAATTTTAACATCATATTGGGGGCGTTTTAATCTCTGCAGGGGCATTTAAACCAGAACTCCCCCTGACACCCATAGAGAAAAGGCGCGACGTCAATCTGCTTTTGTTTTCACCTGGTGCGCCCACCTCTGGCGGACGAGTCGTGTCTTCCGTTCCACCCTCCGCCGCGCGTGCTGGGCCACGCTACGCCACGCCACAGACAAAGCGCACTGCAGGGCGCCCCTTTTAGCCATAATGATACAGTTCGCTCACACCTGTGCATTAGCCGTCCGCGCCACGCAGCGCCACGCCACGCTCAAAATTGGGTAAAATGGAGGTCGAAGCACGCGGCTCGCGGCTGCTCATTCTGGGACCAGGCACCACCGAGCCGCAACCCAACTTCCATTAGTTTTTGGTAAAACGGAAAAAAAGAAAAGCACCCAAAATGCACGGTCCTCTTCTTTTAAAACCAGGAACGCGATATCGCATGTACGGATTGCTGCGGAACACAAAACCTATAGCAGCTTCTACGACCCAATTATTATTTTTCAAAAAAGTTGTGTTTTGCACTCGGGCACTTTTTTTTCTTAGAAATCTTTTACGTGTGTTTGTCATCCCTGGAAATATTCAGGGATCTATAACGCTGAAAGTGTCCTCAAACGCGTTCTTTGGCTCACGAAGCCTTGCTTCAAAGATCTTGGAGCATGTCACATTTGGATTCGGCAAAAGAAACCAACTTGTCGTTAACGTTACTTAAAAGCTCTACTACTATATTTCATTTTCAATTTTTTTGTCACGCCTGTGTAATAAACCTTGTGATGCATACATTCGGCGAGGCTAAACGTGTGTCCTTGTCCTTGTGGTGTGGCGGGTGACAACAAGAGGGAAGGGGAGAGAGAGAGAGAGAGAGAGAGAGAGAGAGAGAGAACGGGGATTTCGGAAGAGAGGCCGAGTTCCTGGAAACCCCCTGCCAGGCGAGAGACCAGGGGGGAAGTGCGCTGGCGTACGCGAGTTTTCTGTAAGGTGTGGCGCGGGGAGGAAAGGACTACCGCGCCGGATTCGCGCCGTAATCCCGTCGCGCTGGCGCTTCCCTCCCGTCTGCCCCCCCCCC